TGGTTTAGAACTGAATACGTTGCCCCCATATCAATAAGAAACTTCACTTCTGTTCCTCTCCTAACTTCATTATAATCAGTGGAGGATCTACTAGGGTAGATTCCCCAGGTCCCCATTAGACCTGTTGAAATCAGGGGCCGATGATTACCCTAGAAAAAAAGGCTAGTCAATTTGTCCTCTGAAGCCAGGTCCAAACAGTTTTGTTTTTTTTTTTTTTTTTTTCTTTTCTTTCTTTCTTCCCCATTACATTTCAGAGTTGGTCCAAAAATTCCACAGGGGTTTCTTTTAGACCTTGTTGGAAGCATATTCTCAATTCCCAATTCATCCAGATTTTAGTATTTCCTTAGCCGTTCCTAATTTTAGGGATGATTAGGGTCTCAGTGGGGTCGGTCAGGGGAATGCAGTTGTCCACAGTTCCCTGAGCGGTCCCATCGGTAATCTGAGCTCGCACATGAACTCAGGTTGTTTTAAGAGTTAACTGTTTTTCTGTTTCCATAACAACTCTCTCTCGGACCCATCATGATCCATTTGCCCCAAAGGGCTAACACCCATGATTTTAAGATCTCTGCCTAGAGCAGAGGCAGAACTATTAACATTCCTACATCCTCTTTCCCTGCTCATTCAACTTCAAACACCTTTAACACTTTCAACAACCCTTTTAACACTTCCTTTATCTTTCTCCAGCCTGTACTTCTCTAATGCCAACATCAAAGGCTCAGTCAGGGGCCAACTTAATTCCGTACCTTTTCCCACCAAGATGCTGAAACAACATCAGTATACAACATTTCATCCTATTCTCCTTCTCAAAACCAACATTAACTGTAGCAAAACATTAGAGTTTAAAGTTCCATTTAGGGGCCACTTTTCTCCACATTCCAGCTTATAAAGCGGCCACCATTGATTACAATATTTTATCAATGTTTTCCTGTTCACACTTCCACCGGCAGATCCTCCAATATCCTTCCAGTGACTCAAAACACATCCTAACGCACTTTTCTTTAAAATTTCACTGCTTGTGTGCCCCCCCATTTTTCAGTTCACACTTTCAGAATACACATATCACTTACAAAAATGTATCACAAAAACGTATCACTCACAAAATTACAGGCACGCAATATCTTTCAGTAGCGATTTCACAAAGCTACTATTACCAGCAATATTGCTAAAATCACAATAACAATAGTCAGAGTCAAATTCCACATGCGATAAGTCAGAAAACCGAACTGTGTAACACCATAGCGATATCTTTCTTATAACAATGCCACGAACCTACTATTACCACCAGAAAAATAGCCAAAATCACAGTAACAATAACCAGAGTTAAATACCATACTCCATGAGTCAGAAAACCGAAATAGACAACACAATTCCAGGTGGACCTTAAAGCGAGCTCTTTCCTTAAGGTCCCCAAATATACTTATGGTGCTTACTACAAAGTATATACCAAACACTGCCTCGCAGAAGATCACCTTCCGACTTACAGACAGTTCCAGGTACAGATGGACCTCAAGGTCCCCAGATATACTTGTGGTACTAACCACGAAGTATATACCAAATACTGTCCTGCAGAAGATCACCTTCCGACTTACTGGACAGTCCCAGATGACCGGTCTACCAGAAAACCAAACCAGAATAACGAATATACTCACTTACAATGATGGGGTCCTTGTCTGCCTCCGCAGTGATCCGGTGAGTCGAGGAGTCCCTCCGGGAAATCCCGGGGGTACCCTAGGGAGTCCTGTCCCCAGCGGGTCCTGCGGACCGGCAGAGAGGTAGTCCCATCTGGGGTGCCAGATTGATTCAAAGATTGAAGCCGAAATTCCTTTAAGTGGTATATTCTTTATTGCAGTGCTGGATGCACGGGGGATCTCTCCACCTATCGTGCATACCCAAAGCGGAAAGCAGTCTTGAATTTATACAATCAATCTATCAATATTCTACAAGCACCTCTACATACGCATTACCTATCCCCGCCTTCCCTTGCTTCTCATGCTAATTAGCCTTTTGGCACCTTGCGCCTGCGTAGAGCCTCCCAAGAATTGTGGGCAGGGGTCTTTGGGACGTGGGCAGGGGTCTCTGGGAGGAAGACCCCGAGTCTTCCTCACAGTGTACTTTTCACTTTTGGTCAGGAATCTGCTGAATTGGCACGTTTCTTAATTGCCAGAGCTGGTTGTTGCCAATTCTTCCGTTTGTTGTATCTTTATAATGAATTCCAATGTCCAGTTTTGATCTTTATAGTCCTTACATTTGTTTCTCTGTCCGTTTGCCGCTTCCTTATCATGAGTTCCAGTGTCTTGTTTCGAGATATACAGTCCATGTCTGGGGATTGTCCTTGCCTCCCCAATACCTCCTTAATCACACTGCAGGTAAAAAGAAGTTTTTAAAAAACAAAACCAAACAAATAAAGAGTCTGCTTAAATATTTCCAGGCCTTACAAAAGGCTTAAGTATATCATTTACATTTGAGAGCAAGTGGGAGGTAAATCGTACAAGATCAAAAACATTTAATTTCTCAAGCTAGCCTTCACTTAGATGAAGCACTCAGAGTACAGTAGCTCTGCAAAGACTACATAAGAGCAGGTCTTACAACGCTTTCTCATTTCACCTATCCAATACCTTGTTTGTCTTTCAAAACTCTGCAGTTGGCACTTCTACTTTCATACACTACCTTCTCAATAAAACTGGTTTTATAGCCACCAGTATTTACTTCCCGATTTTAATTCGGCAAAAATAACAGAAGTTACTCTGCTTAGTACTTTCTCCTTAGTATTCTATTCTATTGCAAAGAAACCATTTACCTATCCACTCTTAAACTTGTCTTCTTTCTTAGACTGCATTTCAAATAACAGGTTATTTTTTAGCACTCTTCTGCCTCATCATGCATACTTCATGAATTAGTCAAAAAAAATGTTCAAATTCCTGTTTATCACCTCCACATGATGTGAAATCAAAGAACAATCCATATGGCTTCACTGCCAGATCAACAAAGAACAAGTATCAAACTCTGTCTTACGCCACAGATAGATTTTCAGCTGTGAATTCACATACATTTCAGTTGCTGGTGGATGCAAGGGAAGATTCCTAAAATCGCTGTTTTTTAAGTACTGAGATAACCCAATAATGCAAAGTTTAGTTCTTAACGTGCAGTGAACTGATCACATAGTGAAGACTCATGATAATCTCAACTCACTGACAGTTCAGACGTCTTCTTACGGAACACTCTGATCTAAAAGAACAGGCGAAGCAGGACCTGAGTGCCATGCAGAGGATTTGTTTAGTTTCATGATCTTCCCAGAATCCTGATGGGTTTCATCCCAGTGCTTCTGAACACACTGGAAGAAGCCCCCACAAAGCAGCAGCTAAACTGCCTAAGCAATTCTAATAATGGAGCAGTATGCATGAAGTCAAATACTGGGAAGGGAAAAAAAGGCAGCAGGGAGATTTTTGAAAAAAAAATAAAAATAAAAAAATAAAAAAAATCCAGCTCTTGTCATCTAACTTCTACTTTTGTTTGGTTGAAATGCTACATTTTGGATTGTCAGTTACCTTTTCATTTGAGAAAGCAAGAACTACCACAACTGGACACTGGATGTGGTACTACTCCAGAATTACCTCGCATGTTAGCACAAGGTCTTAGGGAACAAAGAGAGACAGTAAATAAATAAGATCAACTATGCAAAACACACACTGAGTTTATAAATAGGGTTTTGCCCTTAAAATTCCCAACTCTTGTGTCAGAAGCCAACCTTTTTTCTTCAAAGTTCAGCCAAAGGCCTTTTTAAGTGGAAACTTTCAGCTTTAGCTTGTTTTCAAACACCCAGGGCAAAGCTGTATAATGGAAAGATTTCCCCCATTTTTTCAGGCAAGACATTTATTTTAATACCCAGCTATCCGAGGGCAACAAGTTGTAATTATTTCAGAATTTACAGTTTTCTTTCACGAGCAATTTTTAGCCTATAAAGAATGAATGGGGCATTTAATTTTGGTGCTGTAGATCAGTGCCACTTCAGCATAACTTTGTAAATAGATTATTATTATTATTATTGTTCCCCATCTATCAGTACTACGATTATAGTGAGGGTCAGGGCCCAGCAAATTAATGGAATTATTTTAATAAGAACCCACAGGCCTCCAATTCTGTTCTTTTTGTATCACTACACAGTCCACCTATTTTAGGTAAGGTGGTAAAGAGGTGAAAAAGCTGTGGTGTAAAAAAGTAAGTTCAGTCAAGTGAAAAACAAACAGTTTCAGTTTGAACTAAACAAAAAGCTTTTTTCTTCCAGCAGAGGGAGGATACTTCATCATGGATCAGCCCAGAAGTGCCTTCTTCATGATTTAAAACAAATCACTGCAGCAGCCTATGCAAGTACAGACAGCTTGCAATGCGTTGCTTCAGACTGCTGAGACAGGACATGGTAATTTGAGAAACAAACTGTCATCTGTTTGTTTTTTTTTTTAAAGGAGATTAAAGCATGCTTGCATTAGAATAACTGTTTTATTTACACAGAAGCTTACTTTTTCCAGGGGAATCTGTGTAAGGAATATAGCTAGATAATTGCAAAAAGCTCAAAAGCAAAGCCTGAACGTATTTAAAGAATTAACCGATTAACTGATGGGTTAAGCCACATCCTTATACAGAATAAGAAATTTGCCTTTCCCAAATCATAGGATATATTTCCTGTGCTTACACTATTGTCAACCAAAGGGATTAAAATAATTATATTTAAAAAAAAAAAAAAAAGCAGAACAAACAAAAACACCAAAAAACACAACACACACACACACACATTTAAATTTGATAAATTTGATCACACGCTTACTCAGGTGAATGACTATACTAGAAGAAAAAAACACCTGCACACTAATCTTTATGTATATACAGCGAGCAGCAAAGTTACAAAAAGCTAATGAAGTAGACATCATCTCAAGTGGTAACAACTAAACCTAAAAATGTCTCTACAGTAATATTACATAATACAGCGTTCAGACTTTTTTTTGTACCTGCAAGTAAGGTTAGGGTTGACATTCCTTGACAGCAGTAGTTCCACAGTCTTCAAGATGTTTTCCTCTGAAGCATGAGCAGCACACGCTGCCATCAGCACTGTGTACTTGTCTGTTTGGAAACGTACAGTTAGAAAATTGCATACACCAACACTACGCTAGTCCAAAAGTTCCTTTAAAAGCCTTACATTTGCTAGAGTTGTTTATCAGGTGCTGATAACTAAGATTTAAGAAACTTGTAAAGGTAAGAAACTTGTTTTTCCTCCACTAAAAGTCACTAGAATTATCAGGTAAGATGAAGGCATCTAAAAGAGAAGACAAAGACAGGAGTGAATGAGACTAGTAGAGCATCTACCACTACTGAAGGTGAGGATGCTTGCTTAGGTAGTGAACAAAAAACCTGCAGGAGCTTAAATTTAGGTATCTGTTTCTAAAATCTTGGTCCACACCATGAGATTCAATCCCTGTTCCTCCCTACCTCGCCCCAAAACACAGCCAAATGAAGAAACATCTTACTGAAGTTAACTGCAACAGTTAAAAAAAAAAAAAAAGTGCATGCAACTATTTTTTAAAAAACACATAGCAGCATCACTTGTAGGGAGAACAGGGGTCCATACAAAGGACAGTTCAAGTAACAAGGCTTTATTAAAGGGATGAAGGAAAAGGAAAGCAGTTTACAAACCTAGACTACTATTGTGCAGTACTGGCAAGAAGAAGATGGCAAAAGGAGGTATGTTCCTTAGATCCACATCCACAATACGTAAAAAAATCATCATGAGGAACCGGTGTGTTTCTCTGCTCCAGCTCCAAAGGCAGCTGAGTGTTACGTGCCACCTTTACTCATGGATCAGAACTGCACACCACTGCTGTTCGCCCCACAGAACAGGGGAGATCTTTCCTATTTTTCTCCTACGGGTATGTGGAAAAATCACACCTCAAGGACCTTAGCAAGCTCTTTGGCTTAGAAGACTGTCATTGAACAACTGCCCACTTCGCTTATTGCACAAACTTACATACAAGCTCAAACATGCCTTCAGCAATTTAACAAGTATAATTTTAACTGTACATACTTCAGACCGATCCTTGAAGTGTTACAACATATTTTCTACCTTTCTTATCGAAATCTTAGGACTGCGTATGCACTAGTACCTTTATTCTTCAGAAGAGATCAGATATTTTTTGCATTTAAACTTGAGAAGTTTATATACTTCACCCCAATCTGCTCCACTTTCTTTGCTTCTCCCAACTTCTCGTCTTTGACTTCTCCAACTACGACCTTAGATTTGTGTTTAAATTCACCTAGGTTTTTATAGACCAACCTGCAACTTTCAACCTTCTCATACAGAAGTTGTAGAACGCATAAATCAGTGTATTCAACGAAAAAGTAAGTTTCATAGAGTCACTTAAACTCCTTAACCGTAAGTAATTAGCTTTCCAGTAAATAATTTAATTCACTAACAGATTCTTGCTCTAAACATTTAAACTGGTCATCGATAATAACATGCACTGAAAGCTGGCTGGACTTTGAACAAAGATAGCAATAAACATCATTGATCTGGGAATTACATTTAAGAAGAAACTGTAGTTATATTTATATTCCATAGTTAAAATAGTGATAAAGGGTGGGAAGTTGATTTCTGCTGGCCTACCTACAGGTCATACATAAGCAGAAGAAGAAACACCTCAGAACACTCAGCTTTCTCTTCTGCACAGAAAAAATGGTAAGAGACTGGTAAAAGATTAGTCTGTGGTCAGGCTAGCTGAAAAAAAAAAACACACACAGAAGAGACAGTGAATTTACTCCTTCAAGATGCTACATTCTGATGCCACCACACAGCAAATGCTACCATTAGTTCCTCATTCTTCATGGCTATCAAAGTTCATTCTACTATTAGGGTAAAATTAAGCGAGCAGCTTACAAAGAAGAACTGAAACGTGACAAACAGTGATTAACAGCAGAGCTGTTGTTAGGATTATAAGGTTCTAACATTACTAGTACGGGATCACTCGCGTGATTGCCAGCTCGTACAGAACAACCAGGACTGATGACATTTAGTGCCACTTAGGGATGGCATAGCTGTACTGAACACATTTGGCTTGACCTGAATCAATCGCTTGCAAGACTGCTCCTGGCTGCACAATGCTCAGCTGTGCCCTAGCTACTATTTCGCTATACGAACCAGCAAGGAAACAAGCTGAGAAACCTGGTCCCAGCAAGGTGCCACTTTGGGCAAACACAAACTGGTCACAGGGTGAAAAAATGCCATGCACGTTGGTTAACTGGATGGCTGAAAATGCTGCCCACAGAAGTTTCTGTCCAATTTTACAGCTCTCTACAACCATAAACACGGAACAAGCATGAACTGTAGCAGCCACATGCAAGTCCTCTGACACTGGCTAAGGACAGTAATTTGAAGGCTTACCTGTCCTTGGTGCAGGCAATCTACTCTTATCTCAGACTGATCAGCTCCTAAGAAGTTCAAGAAAATTTCAGAGTCCTGATTTGTACCACCTGCACTGCAGTCTACTACTTCTATTACAAATACTTGCAGTCTACTGGAAAATAAGAGTACCATTTTTATGTACTTCATAGTAACACGTTTCGTCAGTTTCTTCTGTATTACAATGTCTTTCTAGAGCTCGGCTAAGTTTTCCAACATAACAAAGCAGAAGGAAAACACTACAGTCGAAGCAGGAGAGAGTTATTAATGAGCTATAAAAACTGAGAGAGGAACTAGTAGTATTGATAAGTTCCATTAAACTCTTGCCAAAACCCCAGATTTGGCAACACACTGAAGAGTAATTTTCACTTAATATAAACTTTTGCTCTAGTTTCATAGAAGTCTACAGTAGTTTCCCATCAACTGGACAGCTACTCTGCAAGCACATTATTTCTTCAGTTCATGCCAGAGGAAGGGGAATTACTCTTTGTCACCATCTTGCAGACCTGACATGTGACCTACTCTTCTGATTGTTAGGGTGTAGTCATTTAAAATATAACAATCAAACACCCATCATTAACCTAAAACCTAGTGCTTATTTATTACTTTGGTCTGAAACGAGATACACTGCGATCACACGAGCAGGTCAGCTGGCACGTTTGAAGGCTAACAACGAGGGACTGGAGAGCAGAAAGCAAACAACTGCAGCGGGAGAAGCATCAACCAAGGCCTTAAAGATGAATCTATTGCACATAACCAGCTGGAAAGCTGAACAAAGGAGTAACATTTTATAGGAAAAAAGCACTTCTGTTAGATTTAGAAGGGATGAAACAACATCGTCATCATGAACTTAAAAGCAGTGGGTACCACCCAAAATTCAGGATTCTAGCTGTTTTTCTGCATTCATAACAGGATCAAACAAAGGAAGTTTTACTCTACAACTTCACCCTAGGATTCTTAAACAGGTATTTCAAACACCGCTTTAAAAGATGTACCTGGGGATCAGGAGGTGCTATGGAAGACAGAATGAGAGGGAAAGAGAGAGCCAGAATAAGGATATCCATCAGCTGAATCCAGATGAGATCCAAGAATGCATATATATCTTACTTCAGAGATACTACTTTTGCTTTACAAATCTAGACTATATCCCAGTTCCATTGTGATCTCATTCATTTTTTTCTCTCTGCATAGAAAGAGAATAAAGGTAGGACAGTGTCTGACACGGGGAGGTACTGGCCACTATTTTTATTCACATCTTACCTATTTCAAAGCATGCATTGGCACCCTCTGTCCAGAAGGAGACGCACCACTGCAAAATCAGCCACACTGGCAGCACACATCAGGGGAGTCCAGCCAAACTGAAAGCTAGGTTCTACGCTTACAACCTGTCAAAATTTAAGACACTAAAATCTTTAAATTACATCCATAAATCTTTTATAAAAAAGACTTATAAAATCTTATTCAAATATGTATTAGCATGAAGGTTACACAGTTTCCACGTAGTTCTAGGGAAAGGAAAGCCTCTTATACCATTGTTGTTTTTTAAATACATCCTTCTCTGGAATACCAGAAAACAACTTTTAGAACTGACCCCAAGGAAGCCCAGTACTCAATCCAAGTAGGTAAGCACAACAGAAAAGCATTTAAATAATAATAACAAAAAAAATAACTGCAGATTAATTTCAGAGAAGTGAACATAATCTGTTTTCTCCACTTTAGTGCTACAGCTTTTCTCAAACTAAACCCCCAAATTTTATTCTTACCAAGCCAAATGGGCTGCTGTGCAAGCAACGTGTCTGTCATACTATTAAGACCATACGACTAGGGTTTTCCGGCTTCACGGCTCCTTTTATTAGCTGCCTTCCAATGCAGCTAAGCTGCAGATACTAGTTTTGTGTCAGTACTACGAAAATATTATCTCCAAAGAAATATAATTTACAGTCTCTTCCCAACCTATTCCCATTCTATAATTCTAAGATAAGATAATGCAAGATTCAGTCACCACCACCAGCTGTGTTAGCCTGTAGAATAGCCACAGCCTCTTCTGTGGCTAATCATAACGGGCCAGACGGCCCTTCCAAATTCACTAACCACGGAGTACCAGACCCAGCTACTCACGTGACAACTTTCAAATAAAAATCTTTATAGAGTTTTGCAGTAAGAGAAAACATCCCTTTCATCATCCGTCGTGTATTATTTCCTCCATAGCAGTTGGTTGCCGTCAGCCGATTCCATGTTAGTCTAACAGTGATACGGATTACTGAATGTATTTCTTTACAAGGGGAAGTTGTGGAAAACACTGTCCTAAGAAATTTGGGACAGTCAAGCTACACACAAACCTTTTCATGCAGAACGTGTATTCACCTTCCCTGCCTAGGCAGCTTGGCAAAGATCTGCTCATTGGAGCAACGTGAAGCCATTAAAGCTGCGAGTAGAAAGTCCCCGCTCTGCAATTGATTCTTCAGCTGCTCAGGATCAGGAGTTGTAAGCAATAAAGAGGAAGCATTCAACGAATGCCAGGTTTCGAAGTATTCTAACACCTGCAAGCCACAGAAGCTATGATCAAATCCTTTCAGCAATGCATACACACTAGCTGCAATCCTTAATGCCACAGCATTCCTGCTTGCCGTTTACAAAACGCTTCGCTGAGGCCCACTGGGCATGGCGGCGGCAGCGCGGGAGGGGGCTCGGGGGGGGGGGCAAAT